GATGTTTTGATAGAGCAGCAGAAATTTGGTTCAAGTTATTTGCTCATAAAATATTGAGAGATTTTTTCTTCTTATGCTTCAAAAGCATGAAGATTCTTTTCTAGCATCTTTCAGTATATGGTAACTATTGATCACAGTAAGGAAAYTATGTGCATGTGAATAAAACACTGTAATTAATGAAAATATAATAATTGACTAACACAGTACACAAATCTCAGAGTTTCTATCTAATTCATCATCATGCAAGAAATTAACAGCTACCTTTCATTTGCAGGCAATATCASTAGAGGATATAAGGATTAACTCAGTCTTTACTGGTTTCACAAGTATGACAGCTCAGATATATATGTAGTGTATATGAATGTTTGTACTGATTTTCTCAATGTACTGCAACTGCAGTTGGATTGTAAGCAATAACAAATAACGTGGTATAATYAAGGAAAGTAATTTCAAATTAATATAACACCAATATCTATCAGAGGTTTGAAGATCAGAGATTTGAAGAACAGTGCCATGTACATTCAATTTTCTCAAAAACAATCAGAAATATAAGAAAAAATATATTAATTTTAAATATTTTTTTCCAAATAGAGAATGAATAATTGTTCCTACAACTAAAGAAAAAATAAGTATTTTATGTTTTAAATTTCTTCTTCATATAAGGGAACTGTASACTACTAAATATTTCAGGAATCATTTACTCTTAAGAGTTATTTCATGTTTCTTTAAAGCTGGGAGGAAAAATGTTCAAGATTGCCGTTAGGAGCTCATTTACACTTAGCTTTTTTCATGACTGTGAGTAAGATAGCAGAAGAGTAATCTCCTCCACACACAGTTAACCAAGAGGCTTCACTGGCTCGTGCTTTAAAAACACCCCAGTGCATCTGAGCTCTGTGCCTTGTAAGCTCCAATAACTCTGTCTGAGAAAACCAAAGAGGCACCTTAGCTGCTGACCCGGCTGCGTGATGAAGGTGAATGCCCTGGTAGCAGGGACAGCAAAAAAACGCTCAGCCTTGCAGGTTGCAGCCCCGTTGAGCAGAAACCCTGCTGATCTGGGCTCCTTGGCCCCCCGCGCCGCCCGGCTCTGCAGGGAGCTGTGTGGAACAGAAAGGAAAAGACTGAGCAGCTAGGGACACACAGGTAGGGTAGCYCAAGGGGAGCATTACCGGGCTAAAAATGAGCCAAAAGACATTTAAGGATGCAATGAAAGACATATATTTCTCTCCTTCAGTTTAAGTACTCAGGAAACCAGGGTTTTAAATACATGCAACATTGCTTCAAGGGATTTAGACTTCATCACCAATTTATTCATCCAGAAAAGGTAAAAAAAGCTCCAAASCAAAACAAAAAACTCTCATGGGCTCCAAATTTTAGATTATCATTCAGGTTTAAAAATTTTATTTTTACTTGACATTGACTTTGTATTTTCTTTAGGTATATAAAAATTTGGTATCAACACGGTATTTAAAAATAGCTAAGCTTACATTAGAAAACTGTATACAGTCAATTAAAATCTTTGAGCTATACCAAGAATTTAAATGACTGCTAATTTTGTTTTAGAACTCTTCTTTGAGTCTTTTTTTTTTTTTTAATCATTACTTTTAAAATCTTTCCCATATGTAAGCCAGTGCATAATTCAGGAACAACACTTGATGTATAAATGATTCAAGGTCTATGTAATGTTCTAGGAAAAACGGAAAATCTGGAGCTGTAGTAGGTAGCAGTGGTTTGGAAACTCTATGGAATATTAAGTTAAAAAACAACTATAAACCTTAGAAAAAACATAATTCACTCAAAAAAATAAAAAAGTCACTAGTAACATTCCTGAGTGTTAATTTTCTGATAAGTTTGGACTGTTTTTGCAAATTACAGTCTGATGTATTAAGGAAAACTGAACTTGGGTATGCTCATGATAAATAAATTGTGCTGCGGTCTATAATAGTTCAGCAGGTTCTTTGCAAGGAACTGAGCTTTTCCTCCAGCAGGAGCACAGATGCCTGATAACTGACATTCAAGGAAAGCCATGTTCTCTTGGTCACAGTGGTTCAATGAATAAAATCCACTTAGGCAAAAGAAGAGTTGATTGGACTTGGGGAAGTCACAGGGCCTCTTGCCTGTGATTTCAGGGTTTTCAGTAGGCTGATTTTGAAGGACAGAAGGAGCTGGATGTAGGTATTGTTGTGTTTTCCTTCTTTGCTTTTTACATGTCTCATGCAATCAGAACATATAGAAAAGCCAATATCAAACCAAATATTCCTTGCCATCCTGAACAGGTGGTATTCAGCCCCTGGAACAGGCCGCCCAGGGAGGTTGTGGAGTCTCCTTCTCTGGAGGTCTTCAGAACCCACCTGGATGCYGCCCTGTGCCACATGCTCCGGGTGTCCCTGCTGGAGCGGGAAGGTTGGACTAGATGATCTCTAGAGGTCCCCTCCGACCTTGAACATTCCGTGATTCTGTGATTCTGTGTATTGAGTGAATTGATATTGCTTCATTTGCAAAGTAGTGTTATAAACTACTGAGCTGCCTATTTCCAATGTAACAGCCCACTGTTATGAATTTAAGGGCTTGAACACATAATCAATTTTTCCTTGTTTATATTTTTAAATAAACAATAGAAAAGTAAATCAAATGGAATAATCATGATCTTTTAAAAGTTAGATAATAGTAATTTAAGGAGTTATTCATGAATTTTTTGCCCAAGTCAGTTAAAAATGAATCAAATTCAGTTCTCAGTATCCTTGAATAACGCTAATATAGTTATTTCCAATTTTTTTTTGTGAAATGTATATGTCTAAATTGAGATAAGATGGTCTTGCTACATATATTATGAATATTAAAATATAAATACTTTAAGACTTGAGGAAATGAAGACAGTGACTCTGCAAGATTCAATACATTTATAGACAAGAAGAACTAATGTCTGCAGTTGGAACAACGATGTTAGAGAAGTTCAGACCGGGAAGAATGGATCTAATCTAAAGCCCTCTGAAATCAATGGGAGGTTTTCTTTTAATTCCTCTAGGCTTTGGCTTCAACCCCAAGTAATTACTCAGGCTGGACTTTGGCCACTGATGCTAACACCATCTGCTTACAAAGTAATACCACAAAATCTTTAATTAACACAAATCACCTAGGCCTCAGTTTTGTGTTATCTGAAAAATGTCACCTTAGAGAGCACATTGTTCCTGCAAGTCTGGATGAGGACCCCATTCAGTCCCACTGCAAAGGGAAGTTGTCACCTAACGCGTTGCCAGCACTACCTTTCTTTCCCAAATATGGCCAAGTTTCAAAGCAGTTAATTTTCCAACTAGAGTTCACATACAAATGTGTGAACCAGGGTTTATTTTTATTGATGCTATTGGATAAAAATAATAAACTTGCAGCACCTAAATGAAAAAAGAAASTACAACTTCTTTTGTTCAAGTCTTATTTTAAAAGAACAAAATAAAAGAYATAAAAGGGAAAAAAATATGACAATCTGTATAAAATGTGTACCAGGGAGCAGGATTTCTTTGCAGTTCAAGACTGGATTTCTCACTGGTTATATTTTTGGCTTTTTATGAAATTACTGAGACAAAAGATTTAGTAGAAAATTGCTTTTAGTAGAATATTGCTTTGAAGTACTCGCATGGGAGACCGTATCTCAACTTYGATGTTATTGCATGCCATCTTATGGCCTGGATGATGCCCCACACTGTGCAAGGGTCTTGTGCTTTTGTGCACCTTCATCATTAAGTGCTGGATTTGCAGCGTAGGCCACTTCATTGAGAGTGAATAAGGCATACCTATAACCTACATTTTCAAGCCAGAAATGAAAACAGTGTGGCTGTCACCGGACGATGAGTGTGTCTGGAGGACTTAAATGTTGTTTCCTTATTGTAGGGATTAATGAAGTGCTGGCCTAGGCCCTGTGCAGCACTTAAGGACATGTTTAGCTTTAAGAATTTAAGTAGACTGATGGATTTCCATGGGAATACTGATGGGCTTAAAGTATGCRTTGTTGGAATGAAGTCGTATCCTTCAATATTGTGTGGGATCAGGATACATTTGTTTGTGAAAGCAAAGGAACTCTTTCAGATTTTACTACTTTGGGGAATCTCCTGACTGTTCAAGACTGGGATCCTTGAATATCTTGCCCTCTTGATTTCTTAGCCCAAGCTTGACATATGTGGTTTGCCTGTGATATACAGGTTAAAGATCTGTGCTGTGTTATATCATTGATTGTTTTTTTATCCTGTGCTTTAAAAGGAAAAAAARATCTGGAACTGAATCATAGCTCTAATCGACTGACTTTAGTAGTTTTCTTTCTTTCTCTCTCTCTTTCTTTCTTTCTCTTTCTTTCTCTCTTTTCCCTTCCTTCCTTCCTTCCTTCCTTCCTTCCTTCCTTCCTTCCTTCCTTCCTTCCTTCCTT